CACGGAAGTGGCACGTAGAAATCCTGCGCTGGGATAATTCATATACTGCCGGAAAGCTCGCAATTTGTACTATACGAAAATGCATGAAAGTTCCCGGCGCAGGATTTCTAAATGTACACTTCGCCCTGTACACTGTAACCATGGGGAACCTGCCATCCATAATGTTCAACTAAAAGTCCACGGAAGTGGCACTTAGAAGTGAGGCCCCAGCACATGTGATATATTGCCAGGAAGGTCGGAATTTGTACTTTACGAAAATTCAAGATTGAAGATTCAAGATTCAAAAGGTTTATTCGTCGTACACAGTTGTACACACACAACATGTAGTGGAATGTAACCCTGGTCACTCTGAGCAGCTGTGCATGATAAGAGAGTAACAAAATATAGAACAAATAAGAAAAATAATAAGATAAAAAATATATGAAATGTTCAGCTGTACATAATCTATACATAAGTTATAGGTAAGAGTTATATAAGTGCAATGTGCAAGAGGCCTGAGGTATGTGTCAATGATTTGGAAAGGGTGAAGCAGTACCTAGAGGCATTGAGTATTGTCCTGATTTAGGAGCATTATGACCTGGGGGAAAAAGCTCTTCCTTAACCTTTCCGTTCTGGGGTGCGTTTCCCAAGACCATAGTTCGAACGAACGTTCGCAAACACTGTCATTAAGTTGCGTAGTTCGAACAACTCACGAGCTGTAGTTAGAAGCTTAGTACCGGGTAAATACGTCAGCGATGGCGGAAAAAGAATTCTAAGAAGGGTATATTCACCGTGTAAGTAAATAATCTTATATATAATAATCCTTCATAACTAATAGGGAATAATTTAGCTCTACAATCACATATAATGTGAAGTTGTCTGAAAATGTAGTTTGAAACGTAATTGTTGTGTGAATTGTCTCTGGTCATAAGTACGGTAACTGTTGGTAGTGAGCAATAGGGACACCTTGCTGGGTGATGCGGGAAGAATCCTCTGTGTGACCCATCTGTAGGTTGACATCGAACTTC